ACATGATCGGGACACCATCAAAACATGACCGGGACACCGTCACAACACGACCGGGACACCATCACAACATGACCGGGACACCATCACAACATGACCGGACACCATCACAACATGACCGGGACACCATCACATGACCGGGACACCATCACAACATGACTGGGACACGATCAAAACATGATCGGGACACCATCACAACATGACCGCGCCACCATCACATGATCGGGACACCTTCAAAACATGACCGGGACACCATCACAACATGACCGGGACACCATCAAAACATGACCGGGACACCATCAAAACAGGACCGGGACACCATCACAACATGACTGGGTCACAATCAAAACATGATCGGGACACCATCAAAACATGACCGAGACACCAGCATCACATGACCCGGACGCCATCAAAACATGACCGGGACACCATCCGCCCACCAGCTCTGACGGTGACCCGACGGCGCCCGTCCGCCTATTAGTTTTGCAAGACCCCATAGCATGGCTATTGGGGAAAAATGCAAACATGCCATTAATATCATGTCCTCAAAAGTCAGACCAAGCCTGCTCAACTTACACATGTATCCAAATCCATCCAACCTCGATGGGATCCTGGGTTGTGGCACCTGGGGATCCTTGCAAGGAGCTCCAAAAATGAAATAACTGTATAGGCCAAGAATACCGGGAAAAAAAGCACGGCGCACGTCAATATGCCATTGGTAAGGGTGGCCAATGTGGACCTGCGGTCCTGCGCTCAACTGGGATTGGAAGCGTGGGTCAATGCTTTCGAACCGTGTCGTGTCCTCCCAAACCTGCCCTCCCCACAATGTGCTGCTCAGTGACTGATGACATGGAATCAATACAATCAGTGCAGCCGTCCCAGGTTCCTGGGTTGATGTCCTTCACTTCCTCCAAGGAAAAGGAGGGATGCAAGAATATCTTCCAAAACGAAAAGCTGCCTCAGAAAAGATCGCATGCAAGTACACTTCATGGCCCATGCATCAGCAACATGTTCGGCGAAAACTATAGTCGTCTGCCTCCAAGCCCTGAAATGAAACACTTCGCAGGCCTATCCTAGACGTCCTAGATCTGTCTGTGTCTGGACGACATACCGGCGCGACACATGACTCTATCTTCACTTCGTTCCCATCGTAACCCCGGCGTTCCGGTCCTTCACCAAAGGGTTCACCAACTCGACCATGAGCATGGCCCATCCCGTCATCACAACGAAGCACATCAGGAAACACCACGCTAAGGTGCGGAAGCAAGTGGCCTTGGCTGCTCAAAGCTCATCAAAACTCCAATTTGCAAATCCAAATGCAAGAAACCCGTGCTGTCAGAAAGGGGCCGAGCTATGGTCTCACAACGTCGTGGGAAGTGCTCTTGACCTATGGCGACGAAGGCAATAGTCTCCCTTGAGCAAACCTCATTCTGAGTCATAGCCATCGTTTCAGCAGCGGGAAGGGAGAAAAACAAGGTGCAGTTTCTAGGTTTCCTCATGCCAGGCGATGTCTAAACCAATGTCGAGCGGCCATCATCATGGAGAGTTTGTACAACCTTGGCAGCAAAACTTCCAACACATGAGGCGTTGGAATTTAGAAGACTGGACCCTCCCTCCGTGGCCCTGGAGAAGAACCTTGGCATGCTGTGTGTGGTTCCTTGAACCAATCGATCCAATGCTAGCCAGCTCAGTGCTTCTCAAACGAGTCGGCATGTTCCAACTCGTTTAGCACCGAAAAGGGCCAGGCCCCCACAGCACAGTTCTGAAAGTAATTGCAACCGTCGGTAAGTGACGGTAAGTGTGTACACCAGGAGTCGCAAAGGGGTGGTTTTCAGTCGCTAAGTGAGTGGATAATGGGCACCCCTATCCTCCAATAGGCACCCCTTCGTGACTGCAGGTGTATATATATATATACACAAGTATATTGCAATATATATATATACACGTACTTAAGCCATCGCAAGTCATGCAATATGATTAATTGCACTGACCATTCTTGTGAGACGCCAACTGACGCTTGGATCCCGTACTGCCCCCTGAAGCATCACAAGTCATTTGCCATGTAATGTATAAATATGTATACATATCACCTAGAAGTTGAGATCCAGGCTGCTCTACACACAAACAGGCTGGTTCATGAATAACCCTTAGTCATGGTGATTTCGCCGTGGTAAAGGTAGTGGCAGTGGACCGTATTGGTACGGGTGGCTGTATTCGTAATTCTCGTAGCAAATTCTCTTGGTAGAATGCCATGGGCAGCAGCAAACCCTTCAAGGGCCTACCTTCGTTCTCAAGCAAATATCACCAACTGAAACCCGCCAAACCCGCCCAGCTGGCCATTCCAAGGTGCTCACGAAGTCCTCGAATACGCTTGAGCAAGCCTCGGAGGTGCTCACTTTGGGAGGTGCGAACCGTGGCCCGTGGCACATCTTTCTTGGGTAGGTTCAGTTTATAAGTTATAGGTGTTTGAACGCTATTAGAAGATGCAGACCGAACATGATTATCGCATCCAAGTCTACAATACCAAAGCTCCCTGAACATTGGTGAGGCGAAACACGTTCCAAACATGTTGGCACTCTGAACCTACAAGAGCCGCAGATCGCTCTGCGAGAGTATCCCGTGAAAACTCCTCCCGGGTGGTGCAGCATCGCAGCCAAACAAACCAGCAGTTAACCCACGGTATCCCAGTGATAGTACTCTATCACGAGGATGACTCATGCTCCACGTAGTGTGTTCATTTGTGTTGAATCATGGTGATCCTTGGACCCCCCCTTCCCGTATTGAAGGCTTGACACGGTACAGTGTTAGCAAAGCCATCTCCGATGCCAACCAATCAGCGAGCGCACTGTGTTAACATAGGCTATACACATAATTACAACTAAAGCTTAAAGAATCTTAAAGAAACAAATTGAGATATTCAACGTCCTCATGAAAGTTCAACTTCAAGGGGAACAATGATGTACCAAATGCAAAGTCTATCTATATCTATTCATCTAATTATTCCTGATGTCTATACACACATATATCTTTAAGTGTGTGTGTGTGCAATTGGATATATATAATATACACTAGCATGATCTCTCAGGGAGATTCATCCTTTTCGATCCCATCCCCGCCGTCGCGCTTCATCCAGGGGACGGATGGGTCGAAAGATTCGCACCAGGCGCAGGACACGCAACACTTTTATCGGAAAGGTCAAACCTTCGTGCGTGATAGTCTGCACCTGGCCGCCGAGGCGCCGGTTTTGGCGCTTTGCAGTTGGCGGTGTCTGTGCTTGACGGAGCTTTCGAGTGAACCATGTTTAAAACTGGACGGAGTCCTGCGGCTTGTGATGTTCCATCAGTGTAATGAAAAATGTGTTTGCATATGGCACATCATATATATGATATCATATGTTTGCATCAGGGTTGTCGTCGATATCGCTCGGGTGACTACGTCACCACAAACATTGACGCATAAGTACAATGGTTTTGACATGTTTTGACCGTTCAACATCATTCACCGGCAACTGGCCTGGAAGTCTTCAAGCTGCAACACAAAGGACTGACTAACAAAAGCGTTGCTGAGACTAGCTCAATCCCCATCTTACGAGATCTGAGGTGAAGTGCCGTCACAACTCCACCGGTGCGCCCCAAGTCCCCTGGCATGCGGGAACTGCAACGGTTTGGATAATTAAGTTGCAAGATTGCAAGGATATCAGGACTTGAACACCCTCCCGCTCAAATGCACCAATATGGAGCTCAGGATTTGGACTTGCCACCCCTTCCTACTTTAGAACTAAAGGGCACTCATTGACTCACTGGCTGATTCTCTACTCCACTTCCATCCACTTCTCAAATATCCCCATTTAATTGCCGGCCTGAACTCTAATATGGACCTCTTCAACTGTACAGTCTTTCAAATTGGCATGCTGCCATCACCCGGGTTGGAAGGTGGACTCGCGACGAACGTCACATCACGTCACGTCACCACGCGCGAGTTCGTCACATGGTCGTGTCAGCTTAGGCGCAATGATCACTTCCACCCAACCACACACAACAATTCCTGGCGCCGTGGCGGTATCCACGACCGCTGCGAGACGAACACATGGTGCTGCAACATACGACCGGTGGCACACAGCTTCTAGGGGGTATTAACTTTCATGATGTTCAATCCAAAAATCCAGAGACTTGAACAGTTGAAGGGGGCAATGACTTCGCATCACCCGAGGGAGTCAAAATGAAGTAGGGCTTTCCTTCAGCTAAGTTGCACTGGACTAAGAGAAACATAAACACGTCTATATTAATATTCCTCCTAAACAGGACTGAGTGATTAATTCCCATGCTACTTGCAACTTGCTACCATTCTTGTTACTGGGCTGAATCAATCATTATATAGATGGACATGAAGCTGTAGCTGCCCCTCAATGGCTGCATCCCACTGTGACTAGACCTCTGGAAGCAACCCATCCACCACCCTGATTGTTTGAGGGCGCCATCTGTCCGTGCTGTTTGTGAACCGAGTTGGTCCATTTCGTCAAGTCCAACTTTGTCAGAGTTCTTAATTTACAGCCTGTATGCCCAGGAGTGCTTCGAAGGTGTCTGAGCACAATTTTCACACAGCGTCCACTTACAACAAGCTCAGCGCAGCTCACCAAAACGAACTCCCGATAAGATACGTTTTGAGAGAAGTGTGGCACACCAATGCACTTGTCAACCACATAAACCACGTCTCCATCTGCAGCTACATTACTGACTAGCACCGGACCGGAAGGTGATGACCAATGAAACAAAGTTGCAACAAACATGGTGACATGGTCGCATAGTCACATTCATATTGTACCCTTTGAGTCAATTGAGCGGCACCGTATGAGAGAATAAACGTCTCCATTGAAGTAGTCGATTCAATATATCTCGCGTTCAATCCCTCTGACCACATGTATGCCTCTAGGGCTGAGGGTTGTCTTCGTGAGGTCCACGGTCATCGAGACTTTGGTGTCCGGACCGGGGGCACCACGGGCACCGGTAGACAAAAGCGACGGACGAAATCTCGGTTCTCCAAGGCTCCAAGATCTAAGAGCATCATCCAATCCTTCAGGATCGGCAAACCTGTTATTACAAGGAGCAACAGCACCTCCGTGCTATACAACGTCAAACCTCGGCCGGGCGGGTCCCCGAAAAGAAGGAAAGCAGGAAGCAGCAACAATTTCAGTTCTTCAACTCTTCAACAGGTGGTTCTGGTGCGATCATATTTGTGATGCTGCTGGCTGCTTGCTTGCAAGCAGTTTTAGTGTGTTTTAGTGGCCCATGTGCCCTTTCTTTAAGCTGTGGGTTCAGCATCTTGACCTATCCCAGCAAATTACTTCGAAGAAGACCCACTAGGTCAACCTGGGGGTCGCAGGACACTCGGCAGACTTCCTCTCAGGACACATCATGGCACATCCAAGTGTAGCACAGAATGAATGTGCCAGAGCCAATACCATCAACACCCATACAGTTTGATTCAATCAAGTAAGTACGGAGTTGCAGCAAATGTTCATCAGCCACTCTGAGGCTCGTCCCTCTCACCTTGACGCTTGTCCATGGCCTTCAGGTTCGTTTCTCGCAACCCAACCGTTTTCCCATGGCCCTGGTGACCAAATGGCATATGTCCGAGATGAGCAAAATTCCAGGGCTTGGTTGCCCCCCATCGGCTGCTCGAGCATCGATCTCCGAGCAGGTGCAGAACGTATCCACACAAACCTTCAGAAAACGGAAGGGATCATTGAGACTCCATCTTCAACCGCTGCATGACAACGGCGAATAGTGTTCAAGATTGTTCTAGTTTTCACCAGGTTTCTAGGTGGTCACGAGGTCGGGCTTCTGGCGTTTTTTTGGTGTGTCTTGGTGCCCTGATCCACCTTGCAGAAAAATGGACTCTGTCTCAAGGATGTGGACCAGCAAAATCAAGCAACCAAGAAAGTGTGAAACCCCCTCACCCCGGGTCACCCCCCCAAAAAAAGCAAACAAAACTCTTGATGCACATGAATATGGTCATTCACCAGCGAATAGTCTACTGCGCCTTCTGGATCCAATACGAAATATCGCTCTCCACATTCACCGAATGTGCAGGTCCGGTCCAGTCTCGGACCATCATGCATGCACCCATCTTTCCTAAATACTGCATACGTTGTTTCTTCGTGTTTTTACTGTTCGCACGTTTCTAGATTCCTCGTGGGACATCATTGGACTGGAGGCTTTTACGTCTGAGACGTCAACTTGCGACAGCGGTCTACAGCCCAAGTAGGTCAATTCAAATTCTGATTTACCAACCACAATATGTCTTTCCGCACGCATGTTTTTGTCGTTTTGTAGCCAGGACTCCTGTACCTCTGGCGAGCACTGACTGATGAACAAACACATGTATAAGTTTTATGATACTATATAAGATATGACATTGACCGTGGCGGTGGCAACACCCCAAAATCTGTAATGAAGTCATCTGTTTGGGTATGTGCCGGAGTCAAAGGATTTCCACACCCATGTTCCCCAAAAAAACAACGCGAACAAACAAACGTAAGCCGTAAGCTCACCGACGGAGAAAATGCTCTCGCACCACCAGAAGATCACTGGAATGCATCCACTATCCGGTCCCCAGTCTGATTCCATAAGCTCACCTGAAACGTATGGAGCGCATAAGTGTTCCTGTTTTTTCCTGTTTTGGGGGGGTGGCTCAGCACAGCATCAGGGCCACTCCCGTGACTTCCCATCATCTCTTGCGACTGAGCCGCAATGACCGCCATGAGATTCGCGACCTCATGGCAGGCGAAGTGACTGTCGTGACCAGTGCGGGGCTGTCTGAAAGACAGGGGAAATCTGAACGTGCTCAGAGGCTCAATGATATGACATGATGTCCAACGTTTTGTGGCATTGATTGACCCGTCTGAAACAGCCCGCCACGCCGCCAGTTCTCCATGATGTCGGCATGCCGTCGCCAAGGCACATAATGGCTCATCATAAACGTTTTAAACTTCTCCCACCAACCTTGGATGTCACGTTGGAAGAGCCAAGCATTTCGAACAAAACCCAAACCAATCAAAGTTGTCTCCCCGCTTTCGCAGGTCTTTCGGCAACACCAGGTTGGCGTCTTCATCCCACCTCTCTTCTTTCCCGAGTGGAGAGGCGGGGCACCGCAAATGATCAGCCACTATCATGGATCCTGGAGACCGCCTGTCGGGAGTATCCTTGATGGTCATCCCCACTGGGTGCCTGCCTTCGCGACGTGGCGACGTGACGGTCCACGTCGCAGACCGAAGAATCACGCACCGACGTCTCAAAAAGGAACGCCGCCCCGGTCCGCACGCCTTTCTTCGCTCGCCTCATTTCAGCCCGGACACTGGAATTGCCTTCACTCACGTTGTAGGACTCATTGCGGATGAACTCGCCCGTCAGGCGTACCGGGTTGGAAGCCCGGCGTTGCACCGTCGCCATGGAATCTGCGTGGTGTGCGGTACCTGAGTGGGGTGAGCGCCGTTAAGGACAGGCGAATGGGGGAACCTCAGGACCATAGGCCAGGCCGGCTGCCCATGCTGGATTTGGTTGGCAGCCCCAAGATGTGCTATAAATGAATTAAGGAGCAGTTCAGGAGGGCTGGGGACAAAGAGCAAAGGCCATAAGTTCAAGAGAAAGTTGCGTTAATCATCGAACCAGTTTAAGGCGATTTAGGTAAGTAACACTGTAAGTAACCTTGTCCTGTGTTTCATGCGGCACCCCCTGGCTGGTTCAACCAATCTCTATGCAGTCGGTCTGAGATGGCGAGATGCAGAAAGCAAGCCCAATGGAGCCTTGACAATTATAAAGAGCACCAAACCATAGGTTGGAGGCCATCGCTAGTAAGTTGGAGGCCATTCCTATTTGTGCTTATCCCTGTTTACCACAACTGTCGATCCCCATCAGCTCGTGGTCGGCATGTGGGGAAGACCGGCCCAAGAAAGCACAACTGTACGATGATTGAAAGCATTCGGACAAATACCGATCAATGGGAAGACAACAGGGACGGACATCCAAATCAAATTTCCGAAGCACGACCCGGTAGTGTTCAGTCACCAGGGAGTGCAACAAAATGAGAGAACAATGTTTTTCATGTCCAGTTTGCACTTGCCTAGGTTATTGAACACGCGATGCCAAAACACGCAGTGAAAAAACAGAGTTTTGGTACGACATCGAGATCAGAAATCACTCAGTCAACACCTGGCAACGTTGGAACGTACAGGTGTTGCACTTTGGGCAACGGCTCCACTCCACGCCAAGTTGGACACTTAGGACACCAAGATAGGAAGCTTTTCACCCAACGCTAGTAGGTTGGAGGCCATCCCTGATAGGTAGGGGGCAGAGCGTTCATCCAAGAATCTTTTCAATACAGTATCTACTTGGGGCATCCAAGCCCGTTGCCATCCAACATCTTGGCCGTCACACTCAAAGACGTACGTTTCAGCGCCGAGTGGCACGGACCGCCAGTCCAACTATGTACAATAAATATACGAGTAGGACCCTATAAGTCGCTCTGTGGCCAACCAAACTGCTTCCAGGTAGTGGCCACAGCGCTAAAAAAAAGCGTGAAACCCAATCACTGAGCCCTTGAAAATGGCTGCAGTTGAACAAAAAAATATACAATCCGCAAACACCAGCCTGAAGAGAAACAAATGGAACTTGGGACATCCTCCTTGCTGCACTTCTGACATCTTCTGACAATATAATTTACTGATTGTTTAAGGCTCGTGCTTGTCTGATGCACAAACCAGAGCGCTGTACCAACGACCGAAAACTGCTTGGAACCGACAAGGATGCGAAACCAAACTGGTCATACCACTGCCATAATGTACACGGCCTGCTCACGTTTTGTTCACCTCTTCTTTCCGTCTTGAGTCTGCTTCCAAGAACTTGGTGTGCTTGCTTTGAGGTGTTTCCTCTCACTCGAAACCTTGCACGATGCCGACCAAACCGTGCGCCTCTTGCCGCATTGCGAAAGGCCGATCTGGGCAGCCTGGGTGCTGAGCCAAGGCCAAGCCAACAAAACAAAATCAACAATTGGGTGGTTCTATCCTAAAATGCAATCAGCGGCACAAACCTGACCGCTCCCCAAATGACCTGTCCGTGCTTCAGTCTTCTCTGCCCTTTGTCAACGCTAATCAAGGGTCATTTGGGGAGCCTTCCTCGGGCTCAACCTTAAAATTTTCAAACGGAATTGTATACCGCCCAGAAAAAACGCGCAGGTTCTGCACTTGTGACATGGACACTGCGTGACGGTCAGAACATGGGGAGTTGGGGTGGGGCCAAAGTAAATACGTCGGTATAGTTGCTCTGGACAGGAAGCGCTCATGGACACTGCTTGATACTCGCGTAGTTCTCTAGAACTAGGTCTCGGTTAGTGCTCGTGTAGTTCTAGGTCTCATCAGGAACGTACACATCTGATTCTGATGCGAGCAAGATATCGTCTGCAGTTGAAACTTGCCGCGCCGAGACCTTTTTGTTTCTCAAAGGCCATGCGTGGCCTCAGACCTCTGTGGGCGCGCTGAATTTGTCCCCCGTGTCGTTGTTGCGAGTTGGCCAGTTTGCAAACAGAACTTCTGGCCAATCTTAAGAATTGGCTTTTAGTGGATGTGTTTTATGTGGATATTCTATTAGCATCTATTAGCATTGTTTGTGGTCGTTCCGAGAACCCTTTGGTTGCAAGAGACATTGGTTTGTGGTGCTTGCCCTCGATCGTTGGCCGGTGTTGTCAGCGTTGGACGAGCAGAGCTTTTGAAGGTGCGTGAAGAATCCTTGATTGGGCACCTGTGTTGCTGTCGAATGCTTTCCACGCCATGTGGTAGCTCCTTGGCTTCTTCCGTCACTGCGACTCACTTCCGATTCTTGACACCCCGCATCACCGGAAGCGACCGGAAGTGTCTGGCCAAGGACATGCCATGTGTCAACCTGGAAATGCATTCACCCGAGGCAACCTACAAGACAAATTAAAATCTCCAAAACATGCACCGAAGAGGGAACCTTTTTGACAAGAAAATGCTGCAACGGTTACACGAAACAAAACATATATCTCAGATTTCTATCTGAAAAGGTTTGTTTCGCTGCAGCGAAACACCCGAAAATCACCAAACCATGGGGCGGCAATGACTCCGCCGGGTTTATAATATGTTAAAACATGTTGCAACATGTGCATGCGTGCAAGCAAAGGATGACAATGACTAGACTAGGATGAACGAACCTCCGACAGGGAACAAGTTGCAAACAACACAGCGCGGCACAGCACGCTGCCCGTGTGTCCACCATCTATGCTGAGTTTGAATTAAAAGGCATCCTTTGTACGATGTGTGCGATGCACTTATGATCCAGCGACAGGTCTTATTGCAACAAATGTCGCTCGCTCAAGTGTCAGTAACCTTCGCCAAAAGTCGTTGGCCAACGGACGTGACAACATTCGCCCTGATATATACATAGAAACATGAGCTCAAGAGTGCATACCGCATCTCTTTTCCCCTACCTCGAACAAAGTGTGCTGGCACATGCTAGAGCCTGCCATGCTACTAGAGCCTACACGTTTCAACCCCCACAATGTCCCTGCCCAACCATCCATTCATTTTGGGAGATAATATATACACGTATCATGCGTGTTGTGTACATAAATATGTTATAACTATAAATATGTATATATATATATGTATATATTAACATCATGACGCATTGGTACCCATGCGCCCTTGGGTCCAATCCAACTTGTACACTGGTCCGCTTCGTCAGTCTAGGATTTATCCACGGTGCAGTGTGCACCAGGGGCCACGGGGCGAAGCTGCACCAGGACCCACCTCTCTTCGCCTCTTTTCCAACCAACGTGACGGCCACGGCGCTGACAAGAACGAGTCGGGCGACTGAATCTGCTCTTGGAGCCGTTGTTGTTCCAAATGTGGGTTTCCTTCAGCAGTTCCCTGGATCTTGGCCTTCATCGGGGGTTTCTTGAAGACTCTCTTATTATCTCTTACTTGAATCCGGGAAGCTGGCGCCGGGGTTCAAGTGGCATGGAGGATTTCCTCTACCCAAGGGATCTTCACCCCCTTGTTTTATCTTGTAAAAATTTTGTTTGGCAGTGATAAGCTCCATGCGCCTTCCACAGAACTTTTGGGCTACTTATATCAAAGGCTAAATGCAAACCATCAAAGGGACTTCAGGCAAGAAAACGCACTTTCTTTTGCGGTGACTGTCTACACTCCTGGAGCTTTGTGTGACCAAGATCTAGGTTCTGCATCATGTCCTCGCTTGGACACTTTGGCTGAGCCCTAGCAATCCTTGTCTTTGCCTTCGCACACCCGCACATTCTCGGAAACATCTTCTGCCGTAACAAGTCGGGAACACCTTCTTCCTCGGCTCACTTCGTCACCTGACTGGCTCATCAGGGCGCACAAGAGGGCTCGCTCAGCCGCAACTTCTCGAAATCGGACTGGAATTCCAACCACCTTGGTCATCTACATGACTTGCAACGCAAGTGGGTATGTCATACCAAGGTGATACCTCGGTATGTCATCTCTAGGGAGGTGCTCTCCTATAGCAGTTGGGTCCTCTGGGATGTACTCAGGTTGGAGACTATCATGTTGCCCTGGTCTCAACAAACAAAAATGCAAGCGTGAAATTATGCTGAGAGCATCAGCCGAACGAAAACCATTCGTCTCGGAAATTGGGACGTGAAGTTGCCTACGCTTCCACTGTGTTCTGACAACATTCACCCCTTGGAGTCCGTTACTTTCAGAGAGCAGGTCTCAAGCGCCGAAGGACGCAGGTCTCAGGGGTTCAAAGGAGTGGAGGCTGAGAGACTAAAACACCACCACACCCTCCCAGAGGTTCAGGAGTCTACTAGTACCTATTCAAGCTACAAGCGAACCAGGAAAATTGCTCCACAGACTTCAACATGGAACCCTGCTAGTATTGGGTCGGTTGTTTTTTTGTAGGGACCCTCTGGAGTCCTCAGTTCCAAAGCACTTCCATCGATCACACTTCATCGGTTGCAAGCTAGATCCAATGCGTTCGATAAAAAATGGAACGGAAACCAACTTCAATTGCAAAGCCACTTGGGGGGCTTTAAGCCAACTTGAGTGGCCATGAAGGTGATTAGGGACCCAGTTCACCACGAAACCCACCCAGTTCACCACTGATCCGACCGGCCCAAACACTGCTCACGGCTGGGCCGGAGCATCACATCAGCTGCGGCTTCACCTTGGCACGGTGAGTCCGTTGGAACAACGTGACAAGGGTTCACTGGGAAACACCTCGAAAGGTCGTGGACACCGCGAGCTCATGGCGTATACACTTATCTATGCAATTTCTCAAGTTCTGCAATGTTGCTTGGAATCCCACAAGTTTTATAAACTTGGCACGAGTACGTTCAGGCTTTAGCGTGCTGGATTGCCAAGGGCAGGGCGAATCACCATGAAATTGCCCAGTTCCAGATCGACACTCAAACCCATGGACCCCACCACTACCTATTCTCTGTGGTAACATGCGGAAGATACTTATTTGCGTCAACAGGATTTCCAGAGGCCATCCCTATTGGGTTGGAGGCGATTGCTATTAGGTGGGTGGCCATCGCTATTAGGTGGGAGGCCATCCCTATTGGCCTAGATATATGGGTTGGAGGCCATTGCTATCAGGTGGGGGGCCATCGCTATTAGGTGGGAGGCCATTGCTACGAGTATCAGGTGGGATGGCCTCCCATTGGTTGAAGGCCATTGCTATTAGGTGGGAGGCCATATCAGGTGGGAGGCCATCGCTAGTAGGTGGGAGGCCATCCCTATTGGGTTGGAGGCCATTGCTATTCGGTGGGGGGGCCATCGCTATTAGGTGGGAGGTCATCTCTATTAGGTTGGAGGCTATCCCTATTGGGTTGGAGGCCATCGCCAGGTGTTGCCGTCACGCACGTGATCTTCGGCCCGGCAGCAGATTGCATTGCAAAGATAGGCGTGCTCATCGATGCCAGCCACGTGAAATGATTCACCTTGGCCAACCCGAGCGGCCCGTGACCAGCTCGGATGTCCCGCTTTGCATGACGTGAAACCTGGTGCTGTGGCCCTCTCAGTGGCCTTCTGATGCAATCGAAAAGAGCAAGCTAGTCTATCTGGAGGAAGGCATCGAAGTGCAGGGTGCAGTGCAGGATTAACATGTTCTGGATGTTTTGGATGACACGTTCACGGCATGCATTCTCAACTGGGCCACTTGTGACACTAGTGATGCTTGTGTGGACTTTGTGCAGTGGCCAGCCCCGAGGTACTGGACACTTGATAAACATCTCCCGGAAGCCCCAGCACTCATCAAAGAAAAGGTCAAAGCAGCAAGGACAAAGAAGAGCCTCTGGAAAACTCGAAGTGACCTCAAGCTTTAGCTAATCCAAAGCCTCATGATGGGCCTCATGTTGTTATGTATGAGTATTATATCTGACACTATTAAGTGGAGGCCATTGCAAGTAGGTTGGAGGCCATCGCTACTAGAAACAAGAAGCTACTAGTAACAAGGGATCAAACAGTTTTGATAACATTCTTTTCGAGTAGCAACAAGCCATTAGGGTGGAGGCCATCGCTACTAGTAGCAAGAAACTCATGGGCCTCATGTTGTTATGTTGCTGTTACGTCCAAGGTGCGAATCTTAGTGGAGCTAAAGCTGCAAATCTCCCCCGGCGCCGGGCGGGCCACGAAGACCTCTGGGATCCTGGGCGGTTACCCTGGCCGTGGATAGAGCATAGAGGTTTCACTCCCGGCTGTTCTTGCTGGTGTTCGCGGTTGTTCTTTATCTTCAGAACCGTTAGCAATGTCTTTTGTTCTTTTTGAGGGTGGAATATCTACGTTCCCTAGCGTTTGGGCCCACCCAAACAGGATTGAACGAAATCAGGCGCCTTTCACCAAGGAAAGAAGTCGTTTTGTCTATTGTCTAGTTGTATTTGCAGGGGCTGCAGTACAACAAAGTCCACTCCAAAGTGTTTCCAGCAGCTTGAACCAACTGATTCTCAATAAAGCCGCATATGGATACAGCAAATGCATGCAAATGCACTAAACATCGAATGACAAAGGAACAAGTGACAAACAACATCAACGAAAACACACTCTGACAATTGTATTCAGTTAACTCAGTTCCCAGGTCAAAAATGGTGAAGGAACGGCAAGGTGAAGAGTCCGCAAATGTGTAGATGCTTTAACAAAAAAGTTTGTCGCGTGACTGCGGTTGCGCGCTGCGAAAACTCTCGGCGGCTGCAAGTGGCTGAGGAACCAGTGTTTGAGGGGCAGTAGCATGAAGGACCATGAAAACGACGAACAGCGGCAGGGTGGACCATTGGAGTCGGTGTGTTGAAAGCAGGTACGCAGGGCTGATCAGGCCCTGCTTGCCACTCTCGCCCACAGCTTCGTTGCGTGTGGTAGGGCGAGAGTGCCACACGCCCCTGCCGAAGATGGTTGAGAACCCTTTTTCCAGGGGTGGACACACACACACACAAAGCAAAACCTGGATGAACACCAAAAGCCAAAGGTTCACAAACGATGGAGCAATGATATCTTAAACTGTGCAATGATATCAATGGCGTCTTTCTTTCGCTTGTTATTTCCAACATCTTCCAACATGTTTAAAATGTTGTTGACCAAAATGAACATTAGAAACAAGTGCATCGCTACTAGTAACAAGTGCCTTACTAGTAGTAACAAGAAGCTATTATTTGTAATTTAACTAATAGCTTTTTGTTACTACTAGTAAGGCACTTGTTAGTAGTAACAATGTTTGCTATGTGTCTCTTGGTGTCCACCGAGTTGGTCAGGTGTTCCTGCCGTGTGCGAAAGCACCGAGGCTCCGCTCGGGTTCCGGCAGCTCTGACTCGCGCGGCACCACCACCACGCCGATCTGCTCGCGGAAGCGTCCGAAGCCTGGGAGGCATATGGGGGTGGAAGAAAGGCGTCATACGGAGGGTCCCTTTCTGGGTGTTTGGATCATTGTGCGACAAGGTTTGATGCATGTGAGGTGGGGTAATAAAGTTGGGCAAAGAAGCTTGGTGCTTGGGATGTGCTGGTGCTGCGAGTTGTTGTCCTAGTGGGGAGGCTATTAGTATCTGAGGACAGGGTGCCCTTACCATGCAATGCTGACGTATGTTGACTGTTGATTGACAAACACCCCCCACCCGACTTGCAAACTATCTCCATAGATCAACGTGTCAACATTACGCCTGTTGCATTGTATGTCGCAGTCTTATTAATAATAACACAATATATATATAATTACTGTATATATATATAAATTCAGAGTATTCAGCCAACGAGGGGCTTGTTTTGGTATTGTCTCTGGCCGCGCCACCGTTAGCGGTGCTGAGGAGTTTCTGGTCAACCCGTTCACATGTACGCATGACTGGGCTTTTGGGGCGGGATTCGGTGGCGTGATGTCTTCCACTGGAGACATAGTGCCAGTGCTGCCTGCAAGAATTGACTTCGTCACTCTTTGCTGGAATTCTGACGACTCTTTCGCCATCACAAGGCCCACACAAGGGGGAAGCCACATCTGAAGGATTTCTTGCCTCAGCAATCCAGATATCCATACCTCTTGGAGTCGCAATGTCAAGATCCGCTGTCATATTTGTGGCTGGCGGTGCGCGAACTCTTCGAATGACCTGCAAAAAAATGCGCCCAAACTGTGGGAGTGACGCTGTTGCAATTACCCACCGCTGCTGGCGGTGGCCTGGCCTGGCTTGTACTACCGGCGCTGTTGGAGGCCGGGTACAAATGGATTACAGTATGTATGTAAAGTTTGTTTAAGCAACTCCCAAGGTTTGCTTAAAGCAACTCCCTAGCAGCGTCCTTGATACTAGTAGTAAGGCCAGGAGCCCCTAGTAGCTTCTTGTTACTAGGAGCCTTATTATGTATTTAAATGATATTTTGAGTTTCTTTAAAGCAACTCCCAAGGTCTTGGTTGCATCACTATCCCTAGTAGCATCCTTGCTCCCAGTAGTACGGCCAGGAGCCCGTAGTAGCTTCTTGTTACTAGGAGCCTTACTATGTTTGTTTAAGCAACTCTCAAGGTTTGTTTAAAGCAACTCCCTAGTAGCGTCCTTGCTCCTATAGTAGTTAGGCCAGGAGCTCCTAGTAGCTTCCTTGCTCCGAGTAGTAAGGCCAGGAGCCCCTAGTAGCTTCTTGTTACTAGAGGCCTTATTATGTATTTTGAGTTTGTTTAAGCAACTCCCAATTAAGGTTTGTTTAAAGCAACTCCCTAGTAGCGTCCTTGCTCCTAGTAGTACGGCCAGGAGCCCTTAGTGGCTTCTTGTTACTCGGAGCCTTATTATGTATATAAGTTTGTTTTAAGCAACTCCCAAGGTCTTGGTTGCATCACTATCGGGTTGTTGACGTCAGCTTTTTAGAACTTCGCAGGCGCGTCCTTTCAACACGCTGCGTTTGTGAAAGGGCACCCTCCCCGCATGCACAATTAGATTATTTTTGATTCCTTGGAAGCTCACAACACTTGACCTTTGGAACGCTTTGTTTTGGAACGCCACTTCTTGATCCAATTCCTTGGACCTTGTCTTTTGGGGATTTGCTGGAAGAGCTCATGATCGACATGCTTACAGCATACCAGTATTGACACAACAAATTAAATGCGTTCCGGTCGTCGATTCGTGATTATGGCACATGTGGAAACTGCTGAAGTGTCGGCCCTTTTGAGTTTAGTGCGTTGCAAATTTCGACAGCTCTCCCTTCAGGCCAGTGGAAAAAAGAATGGCCTGCTTCTAAACAATGCCCAAAGCGTGGATGCTGCTGTTGAAATGCCATTCAGGAAAGGGTCGCTGAAATGTACGTGCCGCAGAACCACATGCCTTTGTGTTCCACTGGGACAAGAAATAACAAAACAAGACAAAATTGTTTAATGCCCGGTAACCATGGGACGAAATGCCATGCCCTAATAATTTTGAACGTAGTATAAAGTTGTCGTAGTGCTAAGCATGCGCAGGCCTCTCCCGATATGTGGTTCTGCCAAGCAGCCATCGTAAAGGCCACAGCGCTCCGCATGGTCGGTACCTGAGCTTCGTGCGGCTCCGGGCCGAAGCGGCGCCACCAGGGCTGCCTGGCTCTGGAATAAGAACCTCTTCAAACACTTCTTTGGTGCACGCCCCTAGTAGTTTCTGTCGGCAGTGGTCAGCATTAAAGCCGGGACAAGCTATATGGCATATATATATATACATACATATTATCCACACATATAGCTACCATCTCCCATTGATTTTGCAAGAAAGGTCTATGGGACCTCTGTCAATGACGATAAGGATGCCAAAGGACGTGCTCGTCTTCAAATTAAATCCAGTCTCTTGATGCCACTAAAGGTAAGCGGCATAGTCTAGAACCACGCAGGTTACCAAAAGACAACTGCAGCCCATGATTCTTAAAAGGAACTACCCCAACTTACCTGGACATCTGTTGGATTATGTTGAGCACCACGGGGCCTGGGATCCCCCCGAACCAACCCCCACCAAGAGGCCACAGGCATAGAAGACTCGTGGCCAGCCCGACTCCCCCAAGAGCTTCACCAAGGCCTGGGTCATTGAGGGGACCAAGGTATGACCCTGCACCGACAATCAGTTTGCTGAAAGAAATGCCGTCGTTGTTGCGGAAAACGGTCATTTTATATAAAGGGATCATGTTTGGGTGATTTCTACTTAGCATAGTATCTTCCATGTTGAGTTTGTATACTAGAGAGATCTAGAGAGGGTATGGGATGGTGTGTGGACACTCCCCAACAACACAGTCACTAAAGGAGAATGCTGATCTCTATCACATTCAAATGTTCCATCTTCTACCATATCAAGGATGACTCTGACATCATTTCTTACCACCTTGCGTTCGGGGGTGCTTCATGTGCAAAAAGCATCAAAAAGCCAAACAACTTGGTGCTCCTCGCCTACATGCCCTGACTCCTGATTCCACCAGCTTGGGCTCAACAAATCAGCTCAGGGGAATCAATTCGATGGTTTGATGATATTTCGATGGTTTGGGACTTTGGGTAAAGCACTCTGACACCAAGTCCCAAAACGCCCGGGCAGCCGGGGGAAGTTAAAATAATTCAACATTCATCAGCTTGAAAGGTGACGGATCATCTACAGTAGACTCAGTAGACATATTCTGATTCAAGTGGCTGGAACCGCTTCCAGCTGCTCATCAACTAGCTGTTTCAGAGTACCTCAGCGTCATCAGGACCGCTCCAGCCAAAAAACGACAAACATCCGTGGTACTTGGCCAATGCCCGTCTGAGCAATGCGGTCGGTTTCGTTCGTTGGGGGTTGTGTTCATGCTATCGCTGTTTTAAAAGGTTTTGTTTCACCTGCCACGTTGGATTGAAGAGTAGAGCAGAGATTAGCACCAAACGAATCTATTTATATAAACAAAAAGTACTGAGAGACTGAGAGGGATAAGGCAACTGAGGCAAAATGTCATGCTGCCATCTCCAACCAAACTGTCAGAAACTACTGGGAGCACTCGGAGGGACCATGTCCCACAAGGCATCGGTCCGGCATCGGCCTTTGGAATCGAAACATCCATTTCTAGTAGGTTTACCCTGCCAAGATGCTTGTGGGTTCAGCGGGAAAAACCGACAAAACAGCGTAAAACAAGCTATATACTATAAACCACATGTGCATCATCGCAGGCCAGTGTATCACAAGCAATCGTCATAAACATATCTCCGCGGAAACGATTCAAAACACACCTGATCCCACGCCCCGCCCACCCCCAAGCTGCCCTCCTTCATTTGGGAACCGCCGCCATTAACGACAAGTGCATCGCTACTAGTAGCGATTCACTACTAGCTTTTTGCTACTAATAACGTAGTAGTACTGTAAGTAGTAATGCACTTGTTAGTAGTTCCAAACCAACCGCCGCCCAGGGGCGTTGCAACTCCTCCGCCACCTCCGGAAAGTCGGGCCATCGACCCTTCACCGAGGCCTCCCAATGACCCACCGCCACCTGGGGATGCGACGAATGCATCTGGGCAGAACGAAAGGGGTTCTGTATCAAAATGCCCACATACATGTCATGTTGCACTACAATGTACTTGCATGATTTTGCCTTGGAGGAGCCTTTGAGTGGCAGCTTTGCCTTCTCTAACTCTAACTGCTTGGCAACCTCTGGTTTGGCTCTGAGCCTGTTCATGCTATTCGGCATCATTGGAGGGCATTACAATTCTGGCCTTAGAATGCTAATGTACATGTGCATGATTGCACATGCATGTGTGAACCTGCTTGCAAACCCAACCTGCATTCTATGATGCAACCTCAGGACAACAAATTGCGATCATCTTCTCACCGGTGGCTGAGCAAATGAAGCTTTCAATCAGGGCCCCTAGCGAAGGGGCAACATTTTAAGTTTCCAATCATGCCAGCACAGGCTGGAAGACCTGCTCTTGGGTCGGAAGCACAATGTTGTAAACATTGGCTTTCTCCTCCAGAAAGTCCAATAAGGGAATTCCAGGCAATCTCGTGGAATCTTCCGCCACGGTGGCAAACTACATTGAATTAACCCCCCACCCAGTGAATCTAATAGCAAAACGATGATGCAACATGCAGCGGGCCACGAAAGGGTCTTCAAACACCATGAGCTGTGCGAGGTGCAGTCTCAGCTTGCTACTCAAATGCCTCAGACCCGTGCAAGACTGCAGAATCCAAAGTAGAAGCGATCTTCAGAGCTTCAAGGGGAAGTAGTAGCATGATCTTTCAATGCACCGACCAGGTTGGTGTAGAAAGGCCACTCACCACAAATCGAGACCGATACAAACAATCAAAACGTGAAGAATCCTTTCCTCGTGCATTGTCACATGTGTTCCTGATGTTCCTGTAAAGCTGGATGATAACACTTCAAGCAATATTAGCATTCAAACTTACATTGGAGGCTTTTTCATTCGTGCCAGCCAGAGCATGTTTGTAGACATTATTTGCAAGTTCACTATTTCATTCTGCTGAAGGCTCAGTAAAGTTTGAAGAAAATGAAGAATACATTCAAACAGCTCACCATGGCCTCCTGAAGAAATCTTGGCACAGCGGGCCTTTGAAACCGGCCACCGGGAAACTTTTGTTCAGGAAACTCAACGTCCAAGCTTTCAGCCACACTTGGATGGGCCAGGACGTTACTAAACTGCTTTTCTAGGGTCCACCACTGAAAGGTCACTCCCTGTCATCCCTACTCAGGGCCCCTGCTCACTCAGGCCGGGTCACAGGGTGCGCTTGCTCTTGGCCTTCGGCCCCACATAGCCGTCGTGCGACGGGGACATCCACGCCGCCCAGACCTGACGGCGACGGAGGCGGCGACAAGGCCCGGGCATTTCAGCAGCTGCAAAAAGCCAAAAGCCCGGTCTAATTATATTGGGAAAGGTCGGCTCTCTATCCAGCGATTCGATGGTGCTAAACCATCAACACTTGTTGCTACCAGGCCATCACCAGTCTTTTTGATCAAAGGTTCACAATGACATGATGGTTCTGGTGGTTCCGGTGGTTCTTGCCGCTCATACTGCGCCGCGAAGCCTCTCTCTGCCAACGGCAATGGCACGAAGAACGAACTCTGAACACAACAATAGATTTGTATAAGTCATTGGCTGAGATATGAAAGGACACAACAGCTGAATCTTGTAAATCAAACAGAAAATAACCCAATATTATTCAATATTTATTCATACAGATTCACACAGAGAAAAAGAGAGAAATACTGCATGTAGGTTGGACATGTTTCCTATCTAACTGGATGACCTCTGTAAGTGCTTAAGTGGTGACTGTCCAATACTTTGACAACTCGACTCCGCACTTGGCCTGGTAACCAGCCTCCTCCAAGCGTTCCCTCGCTTGATGCAGTAGCTGCGCATGGCCCCGGTGTGGGGGGTTCATGGCGCCCGTAGTCAGGAGGACCTTGGTCTGCACACCGCTGAGCCGCCGATCCCCCACCGTGAGTCCAGTTCGCTGGCGATGAAGAAACAACATGAATGGACTGAAAATGGACCACATTAAACACATATTAAGACACCTTTTCCTGATCGATGCACAACAAGTCGTATGGGCTTCGTAGGTCTGGCCAGAATGGATATATATATATATATATGACATGAGTATCGCTTCTTTGTGGTGACAAACGTGCCAACCGCTCTTGGACTGCGGCCGCTTGGCCGTGTAGCACAAGGAAACAAGGGTGAACAAATCATGTAGACTCTATGGGGTGCCTTCACACCTATGAGACTACAGGGGGTTAGTCTATAGGGGTGAACATTAATAACCCCCCTATGAGACTTAAAACCGTCTACATGGGGTGCTTTTTTATACCTGTTGACAAGGGGCGTGCATCCACATGGGGTGGGTTTATCAAGCAAGAGTATTCAATAGGAACAGAAACTGCGGGTCATGATGGCTCCAGAGAATCCAAAGGCAATCGATTTCCTTGGAACCAAGGTGTTTGGGGCAAAGTGGCGGATCAGTGTCCTCCTTCCAAACATGTTTTTCTCCCAAAAGGGAGGCAAACGAAAGGAGTAAGCACACGGGCAGATATTTCAAGGACCTATGCTGAAGGCAAAAGAAACATCATTTTTTTGAGCGGGCTTCCTATGGAGCTCTGCCCGTACTAGTGAGATACTATGAGTGAGATGATGAGAGGAGATCATGCTGCAAATAAACTAGCGTGGTCGAGACGGGGAAAGCGCGAAGTGAAAGGAACGAACAAAAGAGGTTCAGCCACAAACGAACAGGTGAAAAAACGAAAAGGAGTCCCAGCCGTTGCGCTCTGAGAACCACTGCAGTTCAATTGAATCGCCACGGTTGGTCCAAAGCATTCACTTTCTGTATAAGTATATAACATCTTTTGAGAGAATCTGCTGGGCGGCGACTAACGAAGGGTTTCAAGAACCGGCGACTAACGGAGGAGAATGTTGATGGGTTTGACGATCTCAGAAAGGTGACGCATTGAGAATGTCAACTTGCATACCTCTACGCACATTCTGCATCCGTTCGTTTTGGGGAAACAGGACTGGCCAGCTCTGAAAAATGGACCACCACAACTACCACTGCATAGAAGAACAAAAATGGCCGTCAAACCCTAGACCTACCCTACCCCCACTTTGCACGAAAGCAAAGCCCTTGGGAATCTCTCGAGTTGGAAAGCGAAGCCACGCAGGCCGGTGACTCTGAGCTTCTGGAGAGCTGATGGTAGAAGTGATGCCTGTCGGACGTCAAAGGCCGAACTTGAAACCACCCTGATCGGATTGGCTTCGTGGTTGCGTGCATACAATTCATATAGTAGGTATCTCCCAACCCATGTGTTTTGGTCTATTTGTGCTCTTCCCAAATATCTTTTGAGGGGTCTCCCTATCATTCTAAGGCACAACTGTGTAGGATTTGAGACCACTCCCATCTCATCATCGTTTCTGGTATAGGAATTGGACAAGTTTTCCGATTGTCTGGACCGTGATGTATTTCACTGTGGGTCCTGGAAATCTAAGGTGCACTCGGAGTGAGAAGCCTCCTATGCTTATGTCAAACATCCAGGAGTTTCCAGGAGTTGAGCTTGCCACGGTTCTGAGTTGCACCAGCCGAAAATTCCAGTGACCAGAATGCAGTAAGCCTCCAAACAAACCCTACTCCGGGAAAATCTGGGTTGTCCCATGTTCTTTGCGGGTAGTGTGCCCCTATACACAACCCTCGCCGCAAAAAGCATGGGCGTGATTACAACATCGAGGAACTGCTGGTCAAACTGGGAAGTGGTTTGGGCTGTTCCCTATGGTGCAAGAATATTCCCACAAACGCATGAATTGGACTTTCGTGTGCCTGACAGGACTACATTTCTTTTGTCTGATGCTGCGAAATCTGTGATGCTGTCTGCATGGTGATTGGTGATGTGAAGTCGTGAAGTGTCGTGCAGCCAGTGCGTACTTTCTTTGACTGCAACGACATGGGAGCCTCCTGTCCGGGTCCCGCTGTTTCCAACTCCTCTGCACTGGAGAGTGGTCAGGGGAGACGGGGCATTTGATACATTATACCTATCTATCTTTCATTGTTTGTACCTCATAACTCATGTGTATATATATATATATATTCGGTTGGTCCATAAATATGTATGCATGCAGCATGTATGTGTGTATGTATATCTCAAAGCACTAGTCAGGAAAACAAGAAAAACATCACACATGTCACACATCATCCATCATTCTTGGATGTGCAACTCAAGCGGGCCCTTGTCACATGCTCCGCATCTGAACGCATGGCCCCAACAGAAACTGCCAAACAAGTATAGTGGACCCCCCCGAACCAACTGCGCTACTAGGAGCAACGTGCATCGCTACTAGGAGCAAGGACGCTACTAGGGTCTGCTGGCCTTACTACGAGGAGCAAGAAGCTACTAGGGGCTCCTGGCATCGCTACTAGTAGCATTCTTACTACTAGGAGCAAGAGTGCTACTATAGGAGCAAAGGTGAACGGTCAAGCTGCATGGGCCACGCATCCAGTGCTCCAAGTGCCGCACGCGCCATGGCGCAGCGGAGGTACGCAAAGGCGAGAGAACCCTGGGAGGTGGATATCAAACAGGCTGAGGTCGAGTGAGATGTTGAAAAAAAAAGACTTCAACAATAAAAATAGCAGAGATCATCAATCAGGAAGTGGAGGACAGGAGAGGATCAAATTTTGCTGGATCTTTTGGATCAGTAGAGTGCTGTAATGGATGAAAGCCCACAACATGGGTAAGAATGGCTGAAGCAAGTGAGTCTTCACTCTTGCTTACTCGTTGAGATGTTCTGGCGAGGCGTTCTGAGGATTTTGTTGGCACGTGCACTAATTACACTTGAATCCTCGTCCTCCTGTTTCTTGGAACCCTTGCCAGTCACCTGGTATTGCAAAGCTTTGAGAGCACTGAGCACGGGCCTTGCGTGGAAAGCATCTGCGAACATCAACGTGCGAATGAAAAACATCTGCAGGTGATATATGGATGAGTCTTGAGACGAGGCCGAGACCTCGTGGCTTGCAGCGGTGATATGACCAAATGAACCACACCTTTATGTTGAGAGAAACTCATCTCTTACTCAGTCTGGCTGTGTGTGATACTCGTGCCAGGAGATGTTTGTGGATACTCGTGCCGCTGCCGAAAGTGATTGAGCCCAAGCGTCGCATCCCACGTCGCCGAACGGCGAGGAAGAAAAGCGAAGAGAGCCGAGAGTCGCTCACGCTCCCAAACATCGACCCTGGAATCCACCAATCGATCAGACCTAAGGGTCATCAAACACTGTTTGCTCAAGGCTATGCCGCTATGCCACGACTGTATTTGTTAGTGTTTGAGTAGCGATTGCGGCCACTCCTGATTCGTCAGGCAAGTTTTGGGATGACGAGCAACCAGCGTGTCATCACGGCCGAAGGGGTAAGTTGAATGCTTTTGCCCTGAAGATTGCAACAGAATCCCATCGTATACAGGAAGTCATGTAGTTGCTCAATTAATGTATAATCCCCGTGGGAATCCGTTCTGCCCGAACTGGTGGGTGTTCATCTGATGGTCCAATACCCCTGTATTCCACGCACATCATGTTCAGTGTTCTCCTCAGGTTCGTGATGTCAGGCTCGCTCATGTGAATGTTCCGGCTGGCAAGAAGAGCACAGCAACATGGGCAACCCGCACATTTTTTCTGCAAAAGGTCTGCCTGCTCGGCTGGTATTGAGACTTTAATTTCCGAGGCTTTATGTCCATCGGTTACCTGGGTGGTTGAAACACAGGCGCCCAAAAGGAACGAGTTGGAACCTCAGACCCCTGTGGTTTCCATTTTGCTTCTATGTCTTCAGCTCGGCAGCGCACCAGTTACACAATCACCCAGATCATATTAGAGCCAAAACCCGTCACCACCCCATTCTCGCAACTCCCGCGATGCTTCCTTGGCTGATTTGGGTGCTTCCTATGCTGACTCCACCTCACCTGGGGGAGGGTAGGCCTCTGCCATGCCCGCCTTTGCCCTGTTGAGTAGTGAGTCGTTGAGGCAACCGCTGGTCTCATAGGGCTTGCGGTTGAAGATCCGGTGCACCATTGGAACGAAATGCTCCAGGGGAAGCGTCTCATAGTCCGGGTCAAAGGACGGAGCGTCATACTTGTAGCAGAACTGGTGGCAGGCATCAAAGTAAGGGCTGTCCTTGAACTGGTTGCGCAACGCATCAATGTCCTTCAATTCAAATCCCCCCTGGTAGATGTAGGCCTGGAAGATCTCATGATGCATCAAAATCCAGTAGTTCTCCGGACCGATGTAGGGTCGCAAAATGCTCGCCGCAATTTCCCCGTGGTTGATGGAAGACCAACACTCACCAATGTCGTGCAGCAATGCAACAACAACGGTCTCTTCATCACGACCATCGCGCAACGCCCGCGTGGCACTTTGGAGACCATGAGTGTAACAATCCACAGGGAAGCCTCGGCATCATTTGAAAAGCTTCGGGCCATTTTGCGGAAAACTCCTCTCAAAATCTCTCGAACTGTTGGTCAATTGGTACCGAATGCACCACTAAACATACGTTTTGCTCAATTCTTGTGGTTTTTATAATTTTGGCAGGCTTCCAACACTAACACTCCAATATGGATGGACGCTGGATAGAGACGTCTGCGGAAATATGGACAACCCTGGTGCAGCCTCCAGACATCTCCAGACCTAAAAACTGTGGCATTCTTCAAAGCCAGGGCACCAATGTTGAGGCCTTGTTGTGCTTTGAAGAGCTCCAAGACCCTCTCGGTGTTCTTGGCTGCAGATGCCACTTGGTTGAACACCTTCATCAACGCGACCCCATCCTCACACAGTCGGAGAAGGTTCGAGGAAAACCGGTGGCAACACGTAGCGGTGGTGATCTGACACAGAACCATTGGGAAGTGAAGGGGCTGTAGGCTGTAGATCCAGCTTTTAAATTGTCCAGCACCAACCGAATGTCAGCGCAACCATGAAGTTTATGTATTTGATTGTATTTGTAGATATTTGATGGTATTTGTAGAATGGATACCTCTCCCTATATACATACCGTATATACAGTGTCAATATTGGATCATGTCGGTGCCCACTGCATGGTTGCAAGCTACACGCAACATAACAATCACAGGAGATTCTGAGATCTCGGTGATACAAATAATCAATCCATCAAATCCCAATCACTCTCGTTGGATTTGCATCCCAAAAACAATGGTGTCTCGATTGGATTCACGTCAAAAATGCTCACCTTGGGCAAAACACAAGGTTGATCCGCACACTGCAATAGGGCATGGTCCCATTCACCAGGGCCTGCCAAATTCGTGTGAAAGGGCAACATGGGACACGCAATGAAATCCGCCCGCACCGAACGTGCTGGGGCGTGCGTATCCGGATGGCATAGCCAATCGCAAGGCTTCAGCTTTAGCTCGGGGGTCCATTATCGGGCAAGAAAGCCGAGTTTTTGAAGGTTGTTGAAAACCGACTGTCACGCAACTTTTTGGGGCGTTCTTGACAAAGTTTAAGAAAAGAAAACATACAGAACGTTGGGTGTTTGAAGATTTGGTTAAAAATAGCCAGGTAGAGCCAGCATAAACAAACATCAGCGGCTTCCTGGTACAGCTTTAGCTGGCTAGGGGTTCGTTTTAGTCAGGTAGAGCCGGGACGGTGGGACACCAGTACAACTATACTGTACTACTGATACCACGGCAAAATAGGAAAGGAAAGAAAACAGCAAAATAGTTGAAAGACTGTAGCTGGGTTCAGCAGATAGCCCTTCGTGGATGTTGTTTCTGAAGCGCCCCAATCTCTATGACATTTCTCCCGGTGGGGGCGGACCCAGCCACGTAGCGGCGCGGTTACGTTACATGGCCGCTATAAGTTAAGCTCAGAGTCTTCCTTCTGCATCTTTCTCAAATCTGTGCAAGTTGCACCAACCATCTCTGCTTCTGCCTTCCTCTTGGTTCCAGACATGCTGCAAAGACTCAGGACTTGGGAAGCTAAACTACACTTCACTTAGCACTGGGGCCCAAATCGGCAAGCGTCATTCGGAACCGAACTGGGTCATGCTCCAGTTAACACAATGTGGAAGCAAGCCTCACTATGATCAACATACGAATGCAAAGGATGGCATCCCTTGAAGTCCTGTCACCAGTCTCCTCACCTTCCCTTCCTCAGGATTCCTCTCAGTGTCCGACAGTGGCATCAAAACCATCTCCGTCGAGCCTCAGCTTGTGAAACTGCCCATCCATCTTGATTCTCCGACCGTCTCGGGTGTTGGTCATGTAGACCCTTGATTAATAGAGCCATACTAAATATAAATAGGCTGTTCCATTCAATTGGGGGGCTTTACTAATCAAGAGTCCACATGATGTTTGATGTTCGAAGCTTCCGAAAGCATTCCCATCACCAGAACATCCGTGCCTGATAGGTCGCTCCGACCGGTCGGCGACCCGAAGGCGGAATCAGCCCTTGTTTTCTGCTCCATCCATTCTGCAATCTGGAAAACTGGTTTTATCCATCCGCACTTGAGGCGGCTGGTTCCGCGACGGTGAACGGCGAATTGGGGCGCGAGAGGTTGTCGCAGCCCGAGCTTTGAAAGCCAAGCCCTTTGCAGACTGACTCTCTCTTCCATACATTTTTAGAGGGTTAAGTCTAATTGCATTCAAAAACCATCAAAAAAACGATCCTTACAGCACATGGTAATCCGTAGTAATCCTGGATTTTGATGTGGGGCTTCCCCAGGGTGCAAAGATTTCCCAACACCCACTGTGAAAGTGGCTAACAGGTTAACTCGGGCTTCCCGCGCGTGCGGGTCAGGTCCCACACTCTGACCGCAACCACAAAAATTGGGAAAATGCGCGGTTCCTTGGCCGAAGGCCTCCAACACCTCCAACAGCAGTCTGCGGCGGATGTCTTCATGTCCCAGAATCTTGGTGCAAGTTGCGACACACACACACACACTTATAGAAATGCGTGCTTGTTTGAATTCGGTTGCCACACAGGCAACCATTTCCTGAGTACAGGTTCAAACCCAACGGATGGTGGGGGGCCTTCAAACGGAGGTGAGGCCCAAAGCGCAAGCACAAAGTCGACGAGATCGGATCGACAAGATGACGGCGGCCGTGCACATCTGCAGAACTCACTAGTACTTTACAGGAAGAATTGGAGCAACAGCTTGGACAACACTTCAAACAAGCAGGTACACCAGGTTGATCAGACCTGGCTTCCACCATCACGCATAGCTTCGTTGGCATGCGTTTGCGTGATGGCCGCATGCCCCCTGCTGAAAAAGAAAAGAATCCAAAAGGAACCTTGTGACTCCAAAGGTCACACACACACACGCCTCCCCGAGGGGAGGCGTTCCTTTTCAATTAAGCTCCGGACAAGGGTAAGGTTGGGTGAAAATTGACCCTACGAGAAGCGGTGAATCTCACGAAAGGTCTGGTAGGCGGTCAAGGACAAACGGAGTTGTCCAATGGCGTCATCGTGAAGACGTGGAGCGATAGTCGCCAGGACACACACACACACACATATATATATATATAATATATATATATATAGTGCAAGCACTTCGAAACTCTGAAACGACAAACGGAAGTGGCGGTGTGACTTGTCACCTTGCTAAATACTCCAACCCAGCTATCCTCTTTGTGGAATCAGTTGTGAAATTTCTGCATGTGTATCGTTGTCTTCGCAATTGCCGCATGGAGCTGGACTGGTGAGGTGGATCGGTCAGGATCAAAGGCATGGGCACAAAAGGCCCAAGGCATCCCAAGGCACTATGGGAAGGCCACAAGGTGCCTCCAAAAAATGCGAGATTTCAGGATGACCCCGTGCAGGGCAAGGTTGCTTCGCAAAGATCATGCTTGATCAACAATGAGCACCACAACAGCTTAGTGCAGGAAGTCCCACCCTGACCACAGTTCTTGAGAAAGGACCATACATCTGTCCGCACTACTACTCTAGGTCCTAGGTGTGGATGCACGCACATGAAATAATTCATGCAATTCTAACAGTTTCTCAGTTGGTCATAGGGTCGTAGTGGTGCAAGAGCACAGTTGTTCCAGGCGTTCCCTACTACGCTCACTTGTGCACAAATTCCGCGTCTGAAAGCCCTTCCGCGCTAGACTCGTGGGGTCTTTGTCCATAGGGAAACGTAGCAAGTAGGAATAATGAATAAAGGACATCCTAAGTATAAACACGTATAAACTATAAATACAGTTGTAAAACATTTGTTGGTGAACTGTTTACACTATCATACATGGATATGTTCAATTCCAACGTATCCTCCGAAAATGCTCTTGTTGTATGCATGTCGAATGCAAATAAACTTGCCACATCTAGTGATTCACTGTGCCGAACGGCGGTCTGTGGCTTGCAATAAAAGATGTAGTCATTGAATATCATTTCGGGACAAGGTTGTCGCAGGTGCGAGTGCTGGTTCCACCTGGGAGGAGGTAAATGGACTGGACGTCATTATATATGCAAATGAAGGCCGAAGGCATTCGAGGGTCTTAAAACCTAGACGCAAAGCGATATCGCCTTGCAAGACGGAGCTGCCTTTTTCAGGCAAAAGTATTGTTGATGGACGAAATCCTGCACCTCCATTGTTGATGACTCCATCGAGGGTCATGTAGCAACCCCCATGCTCCCGCAGCGTATCGGCGCTACGTCTTGAGGTGGTGCGGGATTCTGTTAAAGATGTTAACGAGGGAGAATGAGGGCAGCGAGAAGAGTGTACACACAGTGGTGCAAACTTCGTGTCCATTAACCATAGTTCACCCCCCACACACAAAAATACAGACACTAAACTTGACCGGACCCAAACAAAGTCCCGAAAGTTTAAGATGTAAAACGCCCAGTGACTTGAGCTACAGAACCGTTGTCAAGGTCAAACCGTCAAACAGTTGTAATATGTTGTAATTTGTCCCTTTGACCCACTCGGATCATCCTGCAATGCTGCCTGCCGTCAGCTGCCTGCCGTCTCAGGGGCACAGGAAGGTCAACTCGTACGTCGTGCCATGAGGACAGTTGAAGTTCCCGTTCCTCCAGGCGACCGTGGAACTCAAACAGTTAGTGCTGAACTCAAACAGTTTGTGTGGGCTACTGGAAACAAGTGCCACGCTAGGGGTGCGATCCATGGAGCTTAGGGGTGCCCACTGTCCACTTAATTAGGGACTAAACACAACATAACACAACCCCGTCCTGTGACTCCTGGAAGTAATGCTTAAATAATCACATCAATGACACGATTAAACACCTCTGCACCCCTTCCCCGAGTGGTAGGACATCTGAGACTGCCAGGATTCTTGTCATCCAGGTCGTAGGCATATGTCCTGCTGAGATGTGAGCAGGGACCCAAGCACTTCTGGCAAGAATGGGGACCTTGTGGAGACCCCTTTTTCTGTCTTCTTGTGGGTGGAGGGGCCATCTGTCCATGCTTCAGGCCACCGATAGTTGGCTGTCGGAACAAGTTATTCCAGCGAAAAAATCACCACTTGAAGAAGACAGCTTCACATCATGTGAAGACTCAAGGGTTTTCAAGAGATCTCCCAACAGGCTGCAAAAAGACCTGGAAGCCCCAAACGCTGGAGTCTGGAGGTTACGTTCCATGTTTGCTGCCTCGTGTTGCACCTACAAGCATCTGGCTACTTAGGCTATACCCTCACCAAGCTACCATCCAATGGACAAATCAAAATCCGAGACATGCACCGATTCGCCACATTCCGCAGCCACAAAAAAAACAGACACGTAGATTTGGACAGGACTCAAATGGTTTCAATCATCCATCATCCATCATCCATCCTCTGAGCACCCTTGTGACTCAGGAGGTCAGTCCTGGGACAGCGCTGATGGACCAGGTCGATGTAGCTCCTTGAGCCCCGCCCAGGGCGCCCTCGCGCGTGGCAGCCCAGCAGCCTGTAGCATCTCTCAAAACCGGGATTGGAAGTTGTGCTTCAGTATGTTGGGCTGGTGTGGGTTTGCACGCTGCTGGCAAGGTGCTTGTGTAGGGTTGAGTTTGGGGAGTGTGACCCTACTGTGTGAGGATAGCTGTTCTTATTTTTGGGGGTGGGGGACCCTGGGAGTAAAAAAACAGAAGGGTGGGTGAGGGGGGGGGAGAGTATGCATATTGTAGAAACGTGCGTTTTTTGCACTCTCTACTTCAAAGCCTTCTATCTGCTGCTGAAATGCTGAAAATTACAATATAAACAAGCAATCTCTCTTGCATTGATAGGCTTGTGAAAGTTGTTCTTTTGTAAGCATTGATAGGCTTGTGAAAGTTGTTCTTTTGTAAGGTTTTGTTCTTTATGGTGAATGATATCTTTTTAATAGGGTTGTGAAATTTGTAAGTTTCCTGCTCTATATGCAATTGGTAAAAAAAAAATATTCATTCAATTATGAATTATAGAAATGATTAAATCCATAAGCTAGGTGTTTACCAAATAGTCCCCATGCAAAATCATATTTCTTTCTTTTAGAGTGTGAATTGTATTGCTCTTATTAAATGCAGTTGGGTAAATACATCAGAATTAGAAGGCAAATAGTTATGAATCCTAAATAGCTAAATGTTATTTTGATTCTTATTCAATTCAAATTCAAATCTATATGTCAATTCAGGATCAATTCTATTTCAATTATATTTCAATTCTATTTTGCTTCAAATTTCCTTCATTGGGAATCAATGCAAGCCAAATTATAATTCGATTTTACCTTTAATTTCATTATTATATAGTTCAGATTCAATTCTAATATTTCATTAGTGTTGAATTATTTTTTTTATGAAATTCGCATTTATTTCCAGGGAATTGACCTTGCTTTGAACATAAAAGATTTTAATGAAATTTTTCCAATATGGAAGTAAATTATTTCTTTAATGAAATATATTCATACCACCAATAATATTCATTCTCTAGAATGGAAGCAAAACTCAATTAGAATTCCATTTGCATTGAATTGGAATCAAGTTAGAAAATTAGATATATAGGTCAATTGTATTTAAGTTATATAAAGACGTTAACATTAGAAATCATTAACAAATCAATTGGAAATTGGAATAGACAAAATTACAAGTTTTAATGCAAAACAAAATTAATAGACTTAAATGAGAAATAGATTGGAATTAAATTGGAATTGAATGAATAATATTAAATCAAAATCCATTATTCAAATTGAAATTGACCTAGACCTAAGGTAGAATTGAATTAAAGATATTTAACCTAGGAATTAATTAATAGAACAATATTGCGATATTGATATAAAATTAGGTTACAAATAATTCAATTTAATGAAAATTGCAAATTCATTTTGAATTCCAATAAATAGAATGCTAATATATTCAATTTGGAATTAAATTGTAAATATATTGCAAATTCACATATAAATTCAATTTGGAAGTGAATATTAGATTCAGAATAATCAAAGATAATTACAATTGCAACAAAATTGAATCAGAATAAAATTGCATTATAATTTGATTATAATGAATTTTAAAAATACATAAACTTAATTTAGAATTTAATTAGGTTCAATTTAGAATTAAAATAGAAGTCTATTACATATTCAAAACAAATTCAATTTAAAATTCATTTAGATCCAATTTTATTATCAATAAAAATAGAAATGAAACAAATTCAATTAGAATAAATATTGATTTAGAATTGTTAAATTGTATTTAAGTCAAAATTCATAGAATTAAATTAGAATTGAGTTAATAACTATGTAGAAATGAATAAGAAATAGTGTTTATTTCCTTTTTAGCAGACCAGCAAAAAAATCAGACCCATGGAGAGGGACCCAGGAGAGATTGGACAGAAGACATAGGTCCAACAAGTTCAGACTCATGGAGGGGGACCCAGGAGAGGCTAGACAGGAGACACGGGTCTGATTTTGTATTTGTTTGTTTTTGTATTTTTTGGGTGGACCAACGAAAATACAAAAAATCAGACCCATGGAGAGGGACCCAGGAAAGGCTAAACAGGAGACAACCAAAACTGCAGACCACATGTCCACAGATTCAAACCCGAGCCCCAATGGGGTCTGCAGTATTTTTGTTTTGGATTTTCAAGGTTTTTGCATGGTCTGCTCCAGATGGCCAGAACCTCGAAAATCAAAAAACAAAAACAAAAAAAACTGCAGACCACATGTCCACCGAGTCAGACAAGAGCCCCAATGGGGTCTGCAGTTTTGTTTTTTTTTGATTTTCGAGGTTTTTGCATGGTCTGCTCCAGATGGCCAGAACCTCGAAAATCCAAAAAGAAACAAAACAACAAAACTGCAGACCACATGTCCACAGAGTCAGACAAGAGCCCCAATGGGGTCTGCAGTTTTGGATTTTTTTTTTTTGATTTTCGAGGTTTTTGCATGGTTTGCTTTGCTGTATACTGTTGTTATCACATCAAATTGCCCTTTACTCTGCGAAATCCATGTAGAACCCTTCAAAACCTTGCACAATCAAAACGTTCACATCTCCCCCCCCCCTCACCCCCCGCTCTCTAAAAAAAATTCTCGTTTCACCATGGAATGGATGTGCATGCAGGCTACTCTGATTCCACAGCACTGGTTCTAATGCGGCGTTGCAATCGAAGGATCTTGGAGCATCAGTTTGCAAGGTTCTGCTTCTAGGACGCTACTAGGGGCTCCTGGCCTTACTACTAGGAGCAAGAACGCTACTAGGAGCAAAGGGCATCGCTACGAACGGAGCAAAGGACGCTTCTAGGGGTGTTGATCCTTCAGGATTTCCAAAACGAATGCTGAGGATGAGCAGGTACGACCGTTCCGAAGTCAGCATCCGAGCGTTCCCGTTCCGACGTCCCATCGCAAGAACCGGTCTATGCTAGAGCGCCGTTAGGGCCTAGAGCCTGGTCCACTTCCAGTCGACCCCCAGTCGAAAGCTGCCCAAACGGTCATCCCTGGTTTTCCCTTGACTTACGCCAGTCTCGCCAGGGATGGAAGCATGTGGCATGTTTTGTTGCATCGTTTTTCCACGGCAAAGTCTAAAGGTCAGAGTCCCTGTGTTTCAGGACTCTGCAGCTGGATCTGCTCAAACGGCGGAACGACCGACTGCGAATCCAAAAAAAACAAGGGAGTTGCAAGGTGGGCGACTGAACCATTCACACTCAGCGAGGCAAAAGGGCAAAGATAAAAACACACATGGCATGGATAGCACAATGAGAAGGACCAGTTCCCGCTGCCGTAGCTTGCGCACAGGCGGATACAGCCGCTGTGGCTGCCAAAGCAACCTCCTAATCCTCGTTAAACCACGTTCAAATCCACAGCATGCCGGATAATAACCACCAACAAAGGTCAAAAAATAGTGACTTATGCTACAGGACCGCCCCTAGTATAATATTATATATAGTTATATATGCTTGAAACCATCTTCCAGATTACGCTTGCTTGTGGAAAGCTATGAAAGGCCTCAAGCAAAAGACAAGGTCTCAATAATGTCCATAGCTGGCTGGGAACATGTTCCAGGCATTTCACAGTTTACATGTGCCTGATCATTAAGCTACGATTCGTCCAACCAACGCCCATTTCCTCGCCCACCTTGCATCGGTGTGTTGGCAGCTTCGCTGCGATTAACCAATCCAAGCAAAACAAGTCACTAATAAGGGCCCCGCATCAGAGTCTCCAACCGCAGCCGGGACCGGCACCTGTTCTTCGGGCCCCAGCTCTCAAGCCGGGTGATTTTTGAGCTGACTGGGTTCCACTTATATAACTCTTTCTCAGGTTTGTATGTTCATTCAAGTTTTTTGGCCACTTTCAGCGAGCTGGTTTTGTCACCACAAGCCATGGCTGGCGGTGCCGCCACATGCCCAAAAGCAGGGCCGGCCACGTCTCAGTCTGTGGGCCGGAAAAGGTCAGGAACAAAAGAGTGCGAAAAGCTGTTGGCAGCTTTGCTGCCAACTCGAGGTGTCAAACAACATAATCTTCAAAAATCATGAGCGCAGCGTCGGGATGCATCTGATGATGAATTTCCAAATTCCAAGCGTTCTACAGTATGGCGTTCTCATTCATGACCGTAGTGACCTTGCGCGCCCCAACATTCACGGAAGCCGTTGAAGCCCTTTTTCTGTGAAAGGGTGCAGTAGCTATCCACAGGCGAGAGGGTGGAGAACCAAGCACCTGGTAACTAACAGAGCACCCATTAAACCCACAGTAAAACCCCGCATGGCACGAAGTCCCCAGCAAAGGAAAGAAACCGAACTTGGATCGACCTCTTCCGCGAGTCCCTCGGTGTAAGACGACGATCTTCTCTCGGGAGTCCCTGCTCACGATGTCCGGCGAGGTCTTCCGTCGGATGGCTGCAATTTTGGGCCGTCGAATAGCAAACACATTCTCCGGAGATGTTCCTGTCCCAATTGGATCCAATTGGGCCACATTGAACCCTGCCTTGTGCTGATGTATCTATATAATTTGTTTGATGTGACCGCGCGGCAGGCGGCAGGCACGACGTTTGGTTTAGAGGAGGGGTTGGGAGATGGGGTGGCTAATTCATTTGCGATCATCAACACGAAATGTTTCATGCATCAGTTGACGTGCTTCAGGAACTTCATGTTGATCTGCGTTTCATGCATTTCATGAACCACAAACGTCCTTTTTGTTTCATGAGTTTCTTCTCAATCTTCGCTTCATAAGAGTTCATCTTCTCATCGAATTCGTGAACATTTTGGTTGTCCCGACAACAAATGCTGAAAGCGGAACATTTGCAGCGAAATGTCCGATTGCTGCGAGATAAGCAGTGCTTTTTCCCTGAAAACTGCCGTTGTAACGACCACGCCGAAAACGAAACATCGTCTCAGTAGATTAGATCCCTCGAAAAATGACCCATCGGATGAGAGTTTTGGGCCTGGGTGTGACACCATTGGGGGGGTGGTGGCGGGAGGCTGTATTTGCTATTGTAGAGCCTCGCGCGCCAA